AATATCTAATCGACTCTACATAAAAGATTCGAAGGGTCTTTGGGGTTGGGGTTGTCCATGTACCCGAAGAGAGATCTTCCTGTTTCTGCAATGGCCCATCTGTTTAGCCACTCGTCTCTGCTTTTAGCTTGGATGATCCCAATGCAGGTCTGTAAAGAGGCGGCTGTGTCTGTCTGGGGTAGGCTCGCTCCAGTCTTTGGTAGATGGTCTGCAGTCTCATTCCCTGGTACTCCAGAATGGCCAGGCATCCACTGCAGTGTGACCCGGACGTCATAGGTAATGCCATCTGTTTTACAAGGCTGAGAATGTTCCCGTCACCTCTGTAGTCTCCTCCTCCGTCGGCGGATTGGAGTACTGACATTGGTATCACCGAAAAGCTTATGAATTTTCCTTGCTTGCAATGAAAAAATACCCTTCTCACTTCTATCTTGAATAGAAGTTGAAATATGGGCGATTGAAGGAGGTGAGGTCGCCTATTTTCAGTGCTAAAATTAGCAAGAAAATGGCCGTCAAATTTTGGTAACTTCAATAGCTTATGAGTCCCTCAAAACTGAAAAAATTACATTTTTCGTGCTTTGAATCAACGTTTATCTGTGAAATTCACACATAGAAACGTCGTGTTTTGGTATGTACGTAAAAGGTTGAGCCAAAAAACGAAAATTCTATAAAAATTGCCAAACTGGTGGAAAAGTGCCAGTTTCTTAAAATTAATTATTTGAGGAGCGCCTGATTTCACTATGATGCCTCACATAATCAACAGTATGCATGTCGCTGTCTATCTTTTTTTGGTCTCAGATGAAATAGACAAAATTGAATAATCTACATGAATATCGAAGTTGTGTTCCTATTTTGACCTGCCCCAAAAGAGCGCGTCTACTATATTTAGTGTTGTCGAATGACTAGATAGTAGAACGGTATCCTCAATAAGTTAACCTTTGCGTTAACATGAACACGTTTTTTCGTAGTTGTATAATGTTACTGAGGCAAAGCGGCGAAATCAAGAGCTTGTCAAAATGATGAAACCGTAAAAAAAAAGTTGTTTTTTTCGCCCGATGTGGCAATTTTTATCAAAATTTTGTAATTCGGCTCAACATCTTTTATGTCCATTTAAAACACATTCTGTGTGGATTAAAAATAACAATAATAATAATAAAATAACAACATGGATTACAGGTAAACAAATTGTAAATTTCCAGTTTCCAAGGACTATCAAGCTCTTATAGTCACCAAACTTTGGCGGCCATGTTCTCGCTAATTTTATCCCTGAAACAAGGTGACACCCCCCGCCCCTCCCACCTTCTTCAATCGCAAATATCTGGACTTCCATCTCCAAATGTCAGATAGACTGTTATTTTCTATTTGAAAAGTAGACAAATAAACAAGCTTTAAGATGATACGTACCTCTCAACATGTCCAAAAATAGACGAGCGCCTGATTATATTCCGTCAAGAAACAAATATTTCAGACCCCTCCCCCTTTTTTCCCCTTTTTCTCCACAAAATTTAGAAAATTTAGGGCAGGCCGCTTTGACCGTGCCTGATTGGGTCAATCTTGGCTATTTGGGACACATCCGAGCCATGTCACATGATCATCATCTTTGGAAAAAACAACAACAGAGCCTTAGGGTATCTTCAGAAAAAAAAGCAGATTGCGTCTGATAAGTGTCTGATAAGCTTTATCATATCAGGGAACTCTCGTGGCCTAGATGTTAAAGTGTTCGCCTCTCATTCAATAGGTCTCGAGTTCGAATCCGGATAGCGAAGGAAATTGTTCTTCTCTTAAAATTGTCTCCTTTCACACCCTTTACAACTCTAGCAATGTTCTGTCGTCTGCTTTCGTCTCCATTTTCTGTCACCACCCCCTCACCTCCTTTGCCTCCTCCTCTGGGTTCCTGGTTTTATCTGCAGTCTTTTTATTGCTACTACTTGGCTCCTTCTTACTGCTGTCATTCAGCCACACCCCTTATCTTATGGTAGGAAAGATCTACACCTTGCCTTCTCGGAAAAGGGCGAAAAATCTCTGAGGTCCCGTGTGCAAGTTGCGCACGATAAAGATCCCTTGGTTTGTCCAAAATCGATACGAGTAGGCTTTGGCCGTCACCTGGGCAAAATTCAAAATTTCATACCACCTGAAAAATGTTAAATGTATCCCACTCGCTCGTATGACCTTATGCAGTTGCGAGCGCCGTAAAAACATTTACCAAAAACAAAACAAAACAAACAAAAAACAAATTTAAAAATGCAGATTACATCTAATAAGTGTCTGATCAGTTTTGTCATTTTGTCTGTTCGGCTTGCTTTCTTCTTTCTTTTACAACAAATAACAATAACTTTTAGACCCCTGCAGTAAGTTTTTGTGTTTGAGTTTCAAAGAGTTTGCATCGGTGATAATCCGTCAGGTAACATGTTTGGGAAAAAAATATAATCGGATGCATAACATTTCTCCAGGATGACAAGTGCATCTTTTTTTTCCCTCTCGTCCATCTTTATTCCCCAAACAAGTTTCTTTCCACACTCCTCGTTTCTCTATTCCCCAAACAAGTTACTTTCTACACTCCTCGTTTCTCTATTCCTTAAACAAGTTACTTTTCATATGTCTTGTTTCTTTATTCCTAGGAAGTGCAGTTTCTAGTCATAACAATAATTTTCTCTTATTGTTCTTTTGTTGAGGTGAAAACCTACTAATATTATAATTGTAACGCAACTGAAAGGCTATAAATATCTTTATTATCGACAAGCTTACGGGCGCATGCGCTCTTATGCTTTTGATCTTCCTTTGCAAGCAAAACAGTATTTTTAAAATGTTTATCCCTTTCCCATTTATAATTTAAGAGATTGACACCATCTGATTAGTAGAGAAAAGTGAATATGATAGTGTCCAATGGTGTATTACTGGCATACTTAGTAGGACAAGTAACTTGTTACAGATAGAGATTCAAGGATTATAGATGTAAGCTAATGATCTGAAAGTAATGATGATCATTTTAGAAATAATGGTGGTGATGAGTGATGATGTAGGATTTCGTCTAATTGTAATGTTAGCGTTAGTCCTATCGTCCTCTGCTCCTATAAGTCACGAGGGACGCGGGCTCCCTCTATCCTGTTCCCTACTAGAACCATCTTTAATGTCAACGTGAAGTACACCAAAACAGTATTTCTCTTCCCACTGAACATCTTCACTTTCTGCACCGATTTGCACCCTTGGCTCTCGCAGATATAATCGAAACAGCTGACTCCTTTTTTGTTTTATAATAACAATAATAATAATGATAATGATAATAATTTTTTTAAAATTAATAAATTTAAAAAAATAAAATAATAAATAGCACTTGTATAGCGCATAACCCCGTTCTACAGTAATATATACGCGCTTTGCACTATAGTATTACCCCAGCAGACCATAGAACACTCAGAGACATTCTCAGCTTCCAGGGAAGCATTCAGTGCAAGCAGCTGATTAAGTGCTCACACACTAACAAACTGACAAGATCTTTCACGGTCTATAGCTAGGTACCCATTCCCAACTGGGTGAAGTGAGGAAAATGCATGTAAAGTGCCTTTCCCAAGGAAACGTAGGCTCGCTCCAGTCTTTGGTAGAT